TAGGGATTGGTGTCTCTGAATTCTCACCCTCCAACCCTGGCATGTGATTTCTGCTGTTTTCTTTCTGTTTTTTTTTTTCCTGGTAGATGGTTATAAATCAGGTTTATGAAGAGGAAACTCTCTCTAATTGTGTATTTTTAATGGATTTATGATAAAGCCATCAAAGTGGAGGGTCCATATGGTAGGAATGCAGTAAAGGTAACAGGACCAGTGTCACGTAAACATTAAATACAGTGCCTTCCACCTTCATAAATCCTGGGTGCTGTGATTAAATGCTCCTGGTTATAAATCATGCAGCCAAACTCTAGAAACAACTACATCTTAAATAAGACACCAGTAGAAGCCTTAAGTTGGAGACTGGCTTTTTTCCCAGGGAACTGTTGTGCTATTTTTAGGAAATAATATTCCAGTCCCTATTTTCCTCTACAATTATCTTCTCACTTTATTGAACTTCCTATAATAAGCTCCCATCTTGATTAAACAGTAATGATACACCCCTTTAATCCTAGACAGTAATCTTTCATTCTTATGTCGTAAAGTGCCTTTTTATTTGCACACTTATTTTAAAACTATTATCTATCTATCTATCTATCTATCTATTTATCTATCTATCTATCTATCTATTATCTATTTATCTGTCTGTCTAAGATTTTGCTCCCTTTAGGGTCATATACCCAACGTTTCTGCAACAGCCCAATTTACACTGGTATTTACAATCAAATTATTTTATTACACATGGAAGCAATTAAACATTTGGCCCTCAGCTGTAAACAATTACTCCATACAATGACATTCATGGAGTTTTCTTAAGTAGTCATGTATTCCTAATACCCTCTGTTGAAATGAGTGAGATTGATGTATGTGTATTTTGTGTACCCAGAAGCAATTATATTCCCAAACATGATATCAAAAAAAGGCACTTCCCCTGGAGGATGCCCTAGCAGAGTCCGATTCCAGGGGTCCACCTGCAGGGATGCCTTTGATGTAGTTCATTTCTGTTCCACCATCGTTTTACTACTGTTCCCATTTCAGTCTGGAGAACTGTCAGTATTCATAGCAATTATTTTTTTGGAAAATTTGTTTTTTAAGGTTTGGGGTGTATAGTTCTAATATATTGCTATCAGTGTTTCTAGAAAAAAAAAACCAAAAATAAAAAAAGGAGGAGGGATATAACCCAATAGACTTGAATCCCAGCTCTGCCAATCTCCAGTGGTAATATAATATTATTCAGGCTTAGTTTTCATAGTAAAAAAAATGTATGTAGTTATATTTAAATCATAGGACTATTGTGAGTGTTAAATGATATTCAGATTGAAAGAAATAGGGCACATACTACATAGTCAGTACATACTGATTTTTCTATTGTATCCCAGACTCCTTTTGTGGAAGGATTCATATTCCATTTTGAGAACATCCATCATTCACTGTCTCATATCTAGGGTTCATTTTCTTTACACTAGACTCCCCTTTTCTACAAGTGACAACCATGGGAGCAGGCCACAGCTGTTTTATTTATGTCCAGAAGTAAGTCCACCAGTCCCAGTTGCAAGGGTACCTAACAGCTGTATCCAGCCTTTCCAGGAGGCCAGAACTGGAGCCGAGTGGTAATGTTTCAAGGGCAAAGCTCTAGATGTAAAGGCTGATAAAAGAAACCTAAATGAGCCCGAGCATGTCTAGTGACAGATACACCACAGCTATTCTAAATTATTCAAGCTTTCTCAGACTTCTAATAGGAGAAACATAATTCATCTCTGCTCTCCTCCATTCTGCTATCCTAAGTGGCCAAAAAGAAAAGAAAATATCCCCCACCCCCCAAAAAAGGAATTATAATTATCACTCCAATTGAGAAGAGTTTCTTTAGCACATGTAATATCTTTAGAACCATCTAATTTCTGGGAACCAGCTTTGGAGATAGAAACTACAATGGATTTTGCAATGCTTCAGGGTGATTTCCTTACTTCCCTTTTGTTAGCATTTTTTTTTTTTTTTTTTTTTTTGCTGGCAAAAAGCCAATAAAACGGTTGTTTAATTATCCAGGATATCACAAACATGTAACCTCTTAGATAAGCTGTTACTGTATTTTAGCAGCTTCACCATTAGGGTAAAAAGCAGCAAAGAAAATTAAGCTTCAAGTTAAAAAAAAAACAAAACCCAACCTCAAAAGAACAGCTTTGTGTGTTGAGAATAATTAATAACTTGCTTAGGAAAATGTTACTGAAATGTGGTTTTTGGACAAGGAACTGACACTGTTCAGAGGTTAGATACCCTAATATTTAACAGGCTACCATTTGCTGGGCTGGCTGGCTGGTTACCCTGTAGGCATTGCAAAAGTTTGTTCACATATAATTATGCAACGTTTAGACAATATCTTAATGATACCATGTAGCTCAGCTGAATTGGTCCAGCTGGGATTCGTAGCAGCATTCTGATTACCTGGCCACATGTGAAATTAAGGCTTTTCCAACTTCTACTTTTCAAGTGCTAGGTCTTCATAGGGATGTTCTTAGAAAGCCTAAATTATTTATGGCTTTCTTTAACAGAGTAAGGCCTGCCCCCTCTCATTATCAACCACTGATTACGACTGTGTTATGATATAAGATACTTTAATTTTAACAAGGACTATGAGTACACTTTATCATTTGGAAGAGATATTAATATATTTGGACAGTTACAATACAACATGTCCACACTCATTTCTATGCAATGAAGTTGTATACTTTTCTCTTTTCAGATAATTCTTTACTATAAAAATATAATTCCACCTGTACTCTGAATATCATTTTACTAAACCATTAATCACACAGTGATCATTATTTCAGAAAATAGTCACTTAAGTTGCAAAACTAAACTAGTGTGGATTGGTCCTTGCATCACTTCATAAAGACACTTAAAATATAGCAATAGCAAAATCAAGTTAGTGTCAAAAAAAAAAAAAAAAAAAAGGAAGGAAGTTTGCTCAAGGGTAGAACTCTACAATTATATAATATTTCTTTGAGTTATCTTCATGACGTAAAAATATGAAGAGGAATTTCAGGCCATGAATATTGTTTATTTTAACCTGTCAGCTCATTCCTCAGTAACTCTTTGGACCACTTCTTCCTCCTGGTCCTACCTAGATGATATCACAACTATTGTTTTAGAAGTCAACAAAGGAATTAAACTTTCATCAACTAAAACCTGTTTATATAGTTTCTACTTAATTCAGGTAACAAAAAAATCTATCATAAATGACATTGTTCCAACCACTCTCTATAAATAAGAATGAAAGCCTATATAGGCAATGGGCTTTTTTTTTTTTTAGCATCTTCAGTGTTAACCATGAAATGGAACACTAAAGAATCCTTCTACAAATATGATGACTTGCAAACATATCGCTAATTTTAGTAAATGGAAGCAGCAACTGTGGCAGAATAGAAGTTAATCTTGAATGTATGTGAGTCCCCAAACAAGAAAACCAAGTTTTCATTCTTGCCAATCTTTGTTTAAAAAGAAAATGCTAAGTTCTGGTTAACTGTCTTCCCCATCCCTACCAGCTACTTCCTGGGACAAGGAGTCTTGAAATGCATTTAAGTTAACTGGAAAATAATGCTTCACATTCCCAAACAACTGACACACAAAGATCCCTTGAAAAAGGTGACTTGAGAGTACCATTGAGATAAGGCTAAATGGTCATTAAAGATGTTCAAACGTCTTTGTCCACTATCTTCAGTGTGCCATTACACAGCCTGAGGATCTTTTCAGAAGGCCATCAATAGGGGATGAATAAGTCTCACCACTTGAAAGTAACCAGGAAAGGAAGCCAACAGAGTAAACTGCTTTGCTGGACGGATTCAAGAAGAGACACAATATCCACTCTGCCCTTCTGGTTCTCCCGCCCCCTCCCAGCCCACACCCCTGCAAGAAAGAAGAACAAGAGCTCAGGGAGGAAAGAAAGAAAGGAGGGGGAGTGGGGGAAAAGAAATCCAGACACCCAGAGCATCATTTGCACCAAGGAGAAAAACCTCATCCAAGGGGATCAACGACAGCCATGGAAACGGACTTATGACTTTTACTTTGAAAACAGAAGGATGACAATGGAATTTGTGTGAGGTCTGCGAATCCAGCCCCAGATGTTCCCAGCGCTGTAGTAGGCGAGCTCTGCAATATGAGAGGCTTCAGAAGGAACAGTACCTCGGGACCCCACAAAGCAGCAGCACATATGCTATTGACAACAACGCAGACGTGAGCATCATGTTACCCAGAGAGGAGGCAGGCCCAGGACCAATAGCGCTAGTGTCTCCGGAAAAGCCAACCTCACGGACTGCAATCACTCAGGGCAACAGGGGCGACACCCACCCCCTGCCAAACTCCTCTCCCTCCATCCCCTAAACCCCCCAAAAAAATCAAAACCAGAAAAATACGATCGCTCCTATCTATAATAGCAGAGAGTGAGTGAGTGGGGTAACTAACGATGGGGATAGGAGCAAGTGGCATGGGCTTTTCTTTCTTAAATAAAGTTTCCATAAAACCCGGATAACTGACAGCAGCTAATTCTTTTCAGCTTGAGGAGACTGTCCCAAAACTCTTCCCTGAGATTTGCCAGCGGAAAAGCAACACAGCGTGTACCTGAGCCACTTCCAGCAGGGAGGGGAAGGGGACCTCAGGTGAGGCAGGGCAGGGCAGGGCGATGGATACCCAGAGGGGCATCCATGCACAGTAACAACTCCGGGGTGTCAGCCCCGGTGACAAGCCCAGAGACAGGGCGGATAGAGTGACCCGCTGTGTGTGTGTGTGTGTGTGTGTGTGTGTGTGTGTGTGCGTGTGGACCCCCACGGGCAGGGGTGCGGCAGCACTATGTGCACACGGGGGCCCGGGGTGTGATGTAGTGTGAAAGCATCCCTCTTAATCATTTTACAGGGGTCGGGGACGTAAATATTTGGCCGGCCCCATCTGGAACAGATTTGCCCCCTGGCGGGCGGGCGGGCGGGCGGGGGTGGGTGCCTGCCTGCGGGGGTACTCACTGTACGGGCAGTTCTCCTTCTTGGTGCCGCTGACCTCCCCGTTCTTCTCGATCTTGAGGAAGTACTTGGTGAAGGAGAAGAGCTTCCTCCAGCGCACGTCGCCCTGGAGGTGGTTGTAGCTCCGCACATGCCTCCCCGCGCTGGGAGGAGAGAAGGAGGACGACGACGACGACGACGACGAGGAGGAGGAGGAGGAGGAAGAGGAGGAGAGGGAGGAGGACGATGAGGAGGACGCGTTGGTGGCCTCCGGCGGCGGCACCATGGCCTGCCCGCGGGCTTGGCAGGTGGCGGGGACGGAGGACACGAGGACGAGCAGCAGGAAGCAGCAGCCGCAGCAGCCGGGCAGGTGGGGCGAGGCGGAGGCACCCTGTGTCAGTCCCCATTGCCACATTGTACTGGAGCTCGCCGCGCCGGGACCGGGCTGGTCACCAGGAACATGCTGGACGGGTGAGACCCGGTGCTGCGAGGCAGGGAGACAGCTGGAGGGGGCGGCTTAGCTGCCTCCCGGAGGAGCGGATCTGGCCAGAGCGGAGCGCACCGCCATCCATGCCGCCTCCCCTGCGCCCCCGCCCCGGCCCGCGCCCCCCGCGCCCTCCGCCGCCGCCGCCGCCGCCGCCGAGCGCCCCGCGCCCCCGGGGAAGCGCGGCCGTGGGTGGCCGCCGGCGACCTCCGCGCCCCCAGGAGTTACTTCGTCCTCTTCACGCCTTGCTTCACCATGTCCGATGGAAAGAAAAAACAAAAAAACAAAAAACAGTCTGAAAAAGCACACAGATGACAGCCGGGAGCAAACCCCGCGGGGCCGGGAGGGAGGGAGGCCGGGGACAGCCCGCGCCGGGACGCGCCCTCGGGCCTCTCCGCGGAGCCGGCCCCTAGACGGCAGCACCGCGCCGGGGCCAGGCCGGGGGCCGCCGCTGGCTCTCCCCTCCGCCTTCTGGTTTCGGAGGCGCCTGTGGACCGGCAGCCCGCAGAGTCACTTCTTGCTGGATGGAGGGGTGGGGGGGACGGCGGTGTTTGGTCGAGCCCCCGGGGCCCTCCCCCCGCCTCTGGAGAGCCGGCTTGTAAACAGGTTGAAGCCGCCGGTCCGAAGTGTCAGGGGTTGCGAGGCGGAGGTGGGCTCTGCCTCCGCTGGTCAGCCCTCCTCTGCAGGGTGGAGAGGCAGGGGGAGGGGGTCAGGCTGCGGTGGGACATCTGAAACCCCGGCTGCCGGGAGCCCCGCCGCCCGCCGCGGAGAGGGCGGAGGGAGGGAGGGGGCCGAGCGCGGGGAGCCGGGAGCAGCTGCCTCCTCCGCGGGCTGGGGGATCCGGGGGGGTCGGGGGGGTTCCGAGGAGCCGGGGGTCCTCTCCCCGGGTCCCGGCTGTGCAGCCTCCGCCCGCCGCGCCTCCAGCTCCGGGGAAGTGCAGCCCAGGCGCCCTGCGTGCTTCCCGCGCGGCCACCAGCCCGGCTGGTCCTCCCTCGGGCTTTCCCAATTCTGCTGCCTTCCAGCCTGAGCCAATCCCCTGCAGGGAGCCCCTTGCTCACTTGTTTTCCAGCGGAGGATTTTTTTTTCTCTCTCTCCTTTTGGCAGCGGAGTACTGGGGAGCCACCTGGAGCCTGGTGCTGGGCTGCCTGTTCTCCCTCCCACTCTGGCTCCCGGGAGGAGGGGAGGGCGGGGGGGAGAAGGAAGATGCTGAGGACAATCCCTCCGCACCAGCAGCGACTGTAAAGGGGTAGCAGCGAGCTGGGCAAAGGGAGACCTAATGAGCTTCCCTTCCTCCTCTCCAAGGAGGTCTGCGCTCTAATGAAGCTCTGATTTCGCCCTTCCGCTGGCTAAGCGCAGAGTTCACACGTTGGCCCTCCCCGCCTGCCTTTTAAGCTCCGGGAGATTTATCGTCCCCCTTAAAAGTCTCCTCTCCGGGCGCAAAGGAAATCGGGGACCCCGGGGACGGGGACCTGTAATTGCTGAATCCCGTTGACACTTCAAAGCAAGAGATGGCGAAGGTTTCACCACACAAGTTGGCCACTGTTCCGCCCTTCTCTTTTCCATGCCATTTCCTCTGCACTTTGCCATAAAGGGGAGATTTCTGGTCTCTTATCTTCACGTTTTACAAGGTAACTGCACCACCGGTCTGTCTTTCTCACACCCACCGCCCCACAGCTCCCTCCTCGCGAACAGAAACTGCATGAAACCAAGGGAAACAAACGTGCTCACCACGTCCACAGTTAGCAAGTCTTGGCCAAGCATTAAGAGTCACAAAAAGAAACACTGGGATCCTCTGTCCCAGCCTGAATAAGAGGCAGCTCCTGCAGTATCACTACCTTAAGGATTTATTTAAAGGATGGACAGCATGCCTGGAAGGACTGGCTAAAGACGTGCTGGTATCATCTATTCCTATTCTGTCAAGCAGTTGGACTTTAGCATCAGGTTGAAACATAGGAAATCGCCAATTTGTATGGGTTTCCATCCCCCGCCCCCAACTGGCAATTTCATATGGTTCCACCTAATACTCAAACTGCTATTCTAGGAAGAAGCAGAACTTCAAGCTGATCTTGAGAGCTGGACCTCTACCAGTACGATTTGGAGGAAACTCCTCAGAAGAGCTTGTGTGTGCGCAGTGAGCCTGAGTCCCTATAATGTGAAGTTGGCCTCAGTCTTCACGGTGAAAAGAAGAGACAGATGAAGTTAAACATCTCGCTTTTGAGATGGGCATCGGGAATGATTGCCAATTGTGTTGGTTAGTGACTTGAAAAGTGCCCTTGCACGCATGCCCTTAGAGTTAGTTCCCTGTGCCCTCCGAGCCTTTGAAAGAGCACCACTGAATACCAGAATCAGAGATGCTAATTCCATTATTTGTAGCCCATTGCAATGCATAGTCAGAAGGTTTTGACAATATGGTGCACACCACATTTTAATTTTTAAAATTTAATATAATTAGCTCTGATTCCAGTAGCTTTCAATTACGGAGTTGGGCAAATAAAGGGCATACGTCAAACACATCTTGTTCTTTCAGGACGGCACGGATATTTAAAAATGAACTCAGTGCTAATTTCAATTCTCTGGTTCACAGTCTTGTGCTTGAGCTGACAAATGCCTGGGAGAGAGGGCAGTGTTTCTAAGGGACCGGAGTCTCAGCCCAATTGTTCCCCAGAATCCAAGATGTTTGAATTGACAACTAATTAAAACTTCATGTTTTCTGACAAAATTAGGTTTGATGAAAACATACAATAAAAATTCTGTCGTGAAAAGTTACAAAACACAAGAAGTTATTATTCTGAGGTTTCTCTACACTGGGCATCAACATTATTGATGCCACTTGGGATTTCTTTTTTTAATTTACTTATTTACAAGAGAGACCCACCCCCATCCCAAAGGGAGTCAGCCTCTCTCTCTCTCTCTCTCTCTCTCTCTCTCTCTCTCTCTCTCTCTCTCTCTCTCTTCTCTCTCTCCTTTCTCTTTCCTACCAACTTATGCACCAGTGGAAGAAGCCATTCAGGTCTTTAAGGTAGAGGTTTTCTGTCTGCAATGAGGAAACTTCCATATTGAATGCTGTTTGCAGCAGGTGCACCGTTTAAACCTTTCAGAGCCCTTTCTCCGCCTTTCTGTGCCGCGCGATGACAGGAAGGGCATTTACAAACCAGCCCAAAGGAGAAGCTGACATAGCTTTTTAGATTATATCTCATTCTTCTTTTTCTTTTCTGTGCAGCCTTTCTTCCCCGCACTGCCAAATCCCTAAATACTCCGCGGCCGGCATTGTTAGGTCACCTCTTGGGTTAGCCAGAGAAAGCCTGAGAAAAGTCCAGCAGGAAAGATGCTCTATTTAACGGAACTCAATCTCTCCCAATAGATTTGAATCACTAACATAAATGTATGAATGTAGATTCTATCTCTGTAATGAGGCCTGAATCATTCTCAGTTACTTCAAAGGGCTGAAACCCTACCTTCCTTTTTTTTCCCTGCAGCAATAATCAGCTCTTAATGGGTTCCTTTATTAATTGTTTCTCTGTGGCAATTGAAAAGGACAGTGTACAAGCTTCAGATGAGAGTGGGACCTACTCATGCTAAAAGGCTGTTTTTCTCTTCCCTCCCCCCACCCCCCTACCTCTGGAAGGCCTGCTTGATTTCTATGCCCTAAACAGATTCGGTAATATTAGGCTAAATCTTGATGTAGGGGGGAACTAGATGGGGCCTTTTGTTCAGTGTGATTCCTTGAGAAACAACTGAGGATTTTCAGAGCTAGGCCATGGCACCAGCCATTGAAGAATCTTAAAATGTGGCTATGGCTGAAACCGGTTTGGTTCAGTGGATAGAGCATCGGCCTGTGGACTGAAGGTTCTGGGTTCGATTCCAGTCAAGGGCATGTACCTTGGTTGAGGGCACATCTCCAGTAGGGGGTGTGAAAGAGGCAGCTGATGGATGTCTTTCTCTCATCGATGTTTCTAACTCTCTATCCCTCTCTCTTCCTCTCTGTAAAAAAATCAATAAAATATATATATTTTTAAAAAACAAACAAACAAAATAAAATGTGGCTATGGAGCCTCAGACAAGCTGTTTGCATTTTTGCTTGCAGATCCTGTGCCGGGAACTCTGTTGGGGCCGTTTCCATTTTGAGTCTGTATGTCTTGGGTTTTTTCTGCTCAGGGCACTGTCTGTGGCTCAGTGACAGACACGTGTCTGGTTACGTGTGACGTTATTGGCCGTGTCAATAAACTGATTCAAATAGTAACCAAGTCAGGCCAAAAGCCAGCCAGGCTGCAATACAGCGTAGACATGTGCAGGCCTCGTTGATGAAACCTGCAGTGCAGCTCTTACAGGGGTGGGAGTCTGAGTGCGCAGCCTAAAATCTCCTTGGGTTGTGGAAGATGCCGATTTGAAAGCATCTCTGGGGCTTGTGGTCTTCCCAGGATGCAACTGGACATAATGCTTAGGACCAGTGACATTGGGGTTAAAGTATATAGTGATAGCTTATAGTCTTTTTAGGTAGGCATTTCTAGTGCAAGGACAAGAAATCTTACCTCACAGAGAGTACATAGTACAATATCTCAAAGCCATGGGAGTGTTAGAAATGACTGAATTAATCTCATTCATTTGAGAGATGGATGAACTGATGCCCTCCTCAGTCAGTGGTAGAAAAGTGTAGAGCTCAGGGGCTGGGCTCTAGGCTGTTGTCCTAATTTTTGAAGCACCTGTTCTGCTGTGCTATTTCCTCTCTTCACCCTGCCTGCTCTCATTATCACTGACCACTCATCCCCTCAACATGTCTTACTAGTAGATGCTGGGGTAGAAGCGATAAAAAGGTTAAAAGGTTTTACTTAAAGAAGAAAAAAAAACCCCACAATATATCTATTCTGCAATAAATTAACAGAGAAAAGTAATACAATAATGTAGTATTGAATTATTAAGTACCAGTGACACAT